AAAATGATAGGAAACCATTGATGGTTACCATGGTGTCTCATATTCTTCAGTGTAGTTGCTCATACTATCACACATACTAAAATCAAATCTTATGAATCCTTTAAGTGAAGTTCTAGGCATATATAAGCCTATGCATGAATATCTGTCCTTTCTGTACTACAGGGGAAAACAAAACAACAGATTAATAACTATAATTATGAGCTCAAAATAATAACAATGTAGGATTTCAAAACACAGTGGTAGGAAGATAACAATTTTTGTTTTGCATAGTTATCTTCATAAGACTTATTTGAATTACCAGATGTAGTCATGCAAAATTGATCTAATCCTATGGATTTTATGTTTTGTTCCAAGAACTGATAGAATTAGTAGCACAATCATCTTAGTAATCTTAGTGTATATATAAAAATTTATATTCTACTTTATTTCTCTTCCATTATTTCTCTATTTCCCTGTCTGGGTTATTTTTTTCCCTTTGAGAAGTTTCTCACCATTTCACAATATGTATTGAAGATATTCTATCTTATTTACACTTTCAGTTTCTTACACTAGGGACACCATACAGTATTTACACAGGTGAGTCTCATTTATTTCACTTATTAGTCTCAAGTCACATCCATTTACATATAAAAGCCTCAATATGTTCTCTCTCTCTCGCTCTCGCTCTCGCTCTCTCTCTCTCTCTCTCTCTCTCTCTCTCTCTCTCTCTCTCTCTCTCTCTCTCTTTGGTACAGGGGATCAAAATCACCACCTCATGCTTGCCAGGCAGGCACTTATACCACTGAGCTAAATCCACGACCCTTTCAATGTGTTCGTTCTTTATAGCTGAGTAGTAATCTATTGTATAAAAATACCAAATCTATTTTTCTCCATTCCTCTTTGAGATTTCTGTGAGATGAAACAACTTCTTAATAAGATGAGTTCTAAGTTACTGATTCTGGGAAGTATTTCCCATACAATTTGATTTTCTTCATGAATTCTCTGCTGACCCATATGTCTTCAAGATTTCTACCTATTCTGCCTTCCAGGAGATTTGGCATTTCTGTTTTAATAGTTTAGTGCATGGTGATAGGCATGGGTCTAATTTTAGTTTTTGGCATATGGAAAACCAGTTTTTCCCGCACCACCATTAAAGAGGCTATCTTTCTTCCAGTGAACATGTTTGGCCCCTTTGTTAAAGATAAGGTGGCTGAGTGTGTTTGTAGTTGTGGTTGTATCTTCTAATCTATTCCACTGATCTTCAGGTCTGTTTTTATGCCAGTACTGTGCTGATTTTATCACAGTATCTTTGTAGTATGACTTCAAGTCAGGGATTGTGATGCTTCCTGCCTTACCTTTGTTGCCCAGAATTGCCTATGCTATTCTAAGTCTCTTCTGATTCCAGATGAATTTTATGAATGATTTCTATATATCTGTGAGGTATATTAATGATATTTTGATGAAAACTGCATTAAATGTGTATAACAATTTTGGGAAAACAGTCACTTTCACAATGTCTGTTCTTCCTATCCATGAACAAGGAATGTCTCCATTTTTTGAGGTCCTTTTTGATTACTTTTTAAAGAGTTCTGTAATTCTCAGTGAATGGATGTTTAGCTTCCTTTGTTAGAATGATTCCTACATATTTCATTATTTGGATGCTACTAGGATGGCTGTGGTTTCTTTTATTTCTGTTTGTTGTTTGTGTAGAGGAATCCTATTGATTTTTGAGTGTTAACTTGGTACCTAGCTGCATTATTGAGTTTGTTTATTACTTGTAGAAGTTTTCCAATGGAGTTTTGGGAGTGTTCTATATAGAATACCATGCCATCTGCAAATAATGATAGTTTTTCTCTTACTTCCCTATCTTTATTCCTTTTAATTCTCTCTCTTGTTTAATTGCTCTCACTAGAATTTATAGCATTATATTGAACAGGAGCGGTGATAGTGGACAGCCTTGTCTTGTTTCTGATTTTAGAATGAAAATTTTCATTTTTTGACCATTTAATATGATGGTATCTGTTGATTTGTCATAGACAGCTTTTATCAGCTTAAGATGGAGACAGTCTATTTCAGTATTCCTTAAGGGTTCTTATGATGAATGAGTGTTGGGTTTTATCAAAAGATTTTTCTGCATCTATTGAAATGATCATGTGATTTTTATCTTTGGCCATATTGATATGACTTATTATGCTTATTTATTTACATATATTGATCCCATGATGAATCCCACTTTGTCATGGAATATGATCTTCTCAATGACTTGCTGCATTCTATTTGCCAGTATTTTAATGAGGATTTTTGTTGCATGTTCATTAGAGAGTTTGGCCTGTAGTTCTCATTTTTGGTTTGGTTTTTCTCTGGTTTTGGTATTAGGGTAATACTTGCTTCCAGCAAGAGGTTAGGGAGAATTGCTTCCCCTTCAATAACACTGAAGATTTTGAGGAATGTTGGCGTCAAGTCTTCCGTGAATTCAGCTGTGCATCCATCAGGACCTGAGCTTTTCTTTGTTGATAAGGTTTTAATCACATTTTCAGGTTAATTAACTGAAAATGATTTATTCATCAGTTTTATATCTTTTTGATTCAACTTTGGTAATTCATATGTTTCTAGGAATCTGTACATTTCTTCTGTGTCATCCACCCTATGAGAGTAAAGGCTTTTAAAGTAAGTATTGATGATCTGCTGTATTTCCACAGGGTCTGTAGTGATTTTACCCTTTTCATTCCTTATTGCATGAATTTGAGTGTTTTCTGTTCTTTTATTAATAATCTTGGCTAGAGGCTTTTCAATTTCATTTATTTTTTCAAAGAACCAACTCTTTGATTATTTATATCTTTATATCACTTTCTTAGTCTTTATTTCATTGATTTCTGCTCTGATCTTTATAAGTGCCCCCCTTCTTTTGGTTTTAAGCTTCACTGGAGTTGTAGCAGCACGTTGTTTATTTATGTTCATTCTGTTTTCCTGATGTGGGATTTCACTGCAATAAATTTCCCTCTGAGGACTGCTTTCATTGCATTTTACTGGTTCCGGTAAGATGTATTTGTATTTTCATTTACTTGTAGATATTATTTAATCACTTCTTTACTTTCTTCTATGATCTTTTGATTGTTCAGTAGTATATTATTTAATATCTATGTGTTTATAGTGTTTTTCCACTTTCTTTGTCATTAAATTTCAATTTTATAGCTCTATGATCAGATAATATGCATGGGGTAATTTCAATTCTTTTGCATTTACTTAAGCATGCTTTGTGGTCTAGTATATAGTCTCTTTTATAGAATGTCCCGTGTTCAACTGAGAAGAATGTATATTTTTGCTTGCAGGTTGAATATCCTGCAAACATCTACTAAGTTCATTTGTTCACAAGTTTAATTCAATTTTGTTATTTGTTTGCTGACTTTCTGTCTAGTTAATCTGTCTCTTTTTGTCAAAGGATGTTACTGTCTCCCATTATAATTGTGTTATTGCTTATTTGAGTTTTCATTTCTGTTAATATTTATTTTATATAAGTTGGTGCTCCCATATTCAGTGCATATATAATTAAGATTGTTATCTGTTCCTCTTGAAGTTTTCCCCTAACCAGTATTATTATCATTACCATATTATCAGTATCATTACCTTCTTTATTTCTTCTGATCATTCTGGTTTGAGATTCACATTGTCTGCAAACAGTACAGCTACCCCTGCTTTTGGGGGGAGGGTTCTTTTGAATGAAGTATTGTTTTCCATCCTTTGACTTTCAGTCTATGCATTTCCTTTAGGGTTAGATGGGTTTTTTGTTTACAGCATAAGGTTGGTTGTTGTTTCTTGAAATTCTGTCAGTTGTATCTTGATCCACCAATTTCTTTAAATTGGTATACTGAGGCCATTTTTATTAATGGATATAACTGATATATATATAGGCTCCTTTTTTGTCATGTTATCTTTTTGCTGTTGATTCTTTACAGTTCCCCTCTTTTTAATTGTCTTTCCTTTCCTCTATTGGTGTTCTTCAAGTTGTAGTTGTTTTTATGTCTATATAGAATACCTTTCAGTATTTTTTGAAGGGTTGGTTTGGTGGTCATGAAGTTCTTCAGCTGTTCATTGTCTTGGAAGTATCTTATTTCTCCATTAATTTTGAAGGACAGTTTTGCAAGTTATATCAATCTGGGTTGGAAGTCATTTTCCTTTAGGATTTGAAATAGTTCACTCCATGCTCTTCTTGACTTCATTGTTTGTGTTGAGAAGTCTGCTGTGATGCCAATGGGCTTTTCTTCATAGGTTATCTGTCTCTTTTTTCTAACAGTTTTTAATATTCTATTCTTATGAAATTCATAGATTTGTTTTGGTTATGGTTAATTGGAGTTCTATATGTATCACTTATCTGTATATCAGTTTCCTTTCCCATGTTTGGGTAATTTTCTAGTATTATTTCTGTGAACAGCCTTTTGATATCATTTGTTTTGTCACTTTTTCATTTACACATATAAATCTTATCTTGTTATTCTTTGCATCATCTTGTAGCCATTGAATTGTTAGTTCCTAATTCCTTGTTATTATTTTGAACATAGTAAAATATAATGTAACAAGACAGAACAAAGCCAATCATGACAATGCACTGAAATTGGTACAGAACTTTACAGCAGGATACCAGGATAATAGTAATAGGTACCAGTGTATATCTTGTTGTCTTCACAATAGTTGTCCATTCAATCAGATATAGCAAAATCAAACCAAAAGCAGAATATTATAAAACTGATCAAAACAGAATATCAAATAGAGCAAAAACAATTAATCAGAAAAAAGCAAAAATAGTGAAATAACATTTGCCTTCAAACAGAAGATAGAAGGAAATCCCTCATATTTTTTATATTGCATATAGTTATCCTCCTAAGAGATACTCAGACCTCTAGTTGCTAACAGGAGTGGTGGGGCATGGGATGTTTGATTCTCAACCCATGTGCCAGGAGCCTCATGGGAGACACTGACTGGTTCCCTTCCTTGCTCACCTGCTAGGCTACGCCAGGGCCACTTACCAGGAAGGGAGGTATGTTGCTTTTTCCTCCTTGTTATTTTTAAAAGATCTTTCCTTTCTTGTTCAGTAGCTGCAGTCTTGTTCTCTAGGTGTGAAAACCTGTCTTCACATTCATTCAAGTGATTTTGCCAGCTTTTGATGTTTTTTTTTTTTTTTAATTTCTTGGGTATCTCCTTGAATCTGCTTCATGCATTCTATTGCTTTCTTATGTTGTTCATGCAAGGTTTCTATCTTTTTGTAGTGTTCTTCAACTTTTTAAAACTATGTTTATCATTTCTTCTTTGATCTGGGAGATTATTTATGATCTGAGTTCCTTTACAGCTTCATGGAGTTGTTTCTTTACTTCAGTTGCTATCATTTCAGTAATTCCAGGTTTATGGCTTATATTTTCTAGGCTCATTTGGGATGCACTGGAGGTTTGAAATTGCATTTTGCTCTTTCATGTTGTCATTTTCCTGTATTCCATGGATCCCTAGGGGCATTTAACAGCTCACCAGGTGGGGGTTGTGCACTGGATGGAATTTCAACACACCCCATGTAGCTCAACAAAGCTCCCTGGCTGCTTGAGGTCACTGAATAGGGCCCTACCTGTTTCTGAGTAGCATAGTAAGGCTGAATGGTATGTGGGGTATACTGGGCAGGCTTTCAGCTCACACCACATAGCACATCAAATCTCCCAGGCTTCTTGGGGTCTCTGGGTGTGGCTCCAACAGGTTCCAAGCAAAGAGCTACCACTGCACAGCTAGGTAGTAATCATTCTGGTGAGTTTCTGCTTACATATGCAAAGCCCAGTTACCTGGAATTCACTGGGTGGGGCACAGCGAGGACCAAATAGGCTGCACATGACTGTGGCCCTTTTTGATATGACTGTTTGGTTTTTCATCATTTTTAAATAGAGGACCAAAAGGAAACAAAGTGGGACTTATTCTGATGGAGCATCAGGGAAATTTACCTTGTCACTGAGGGACTAGGCCACATATAGTTTTTTGGCAGTGCCTTCAGAAGAAAAGAAAATGCATTCAGATAAGGGGAGACTTGTGAACTTCAAAAAGTTGCTTTCTGTCAACCCTATAAAAATAAGCAGAGATATAGTGATTATGAAAGGGCATTCTTATCAATGATTGCCTAAAAATAAAAAGTCCTTCCATGCCTATCCTATCCTGATTTTAGTTTATTAGATATCAAGAGATATATATCTAGATTTAATCTTCTATATGTAAATAGGCAGTTTTCCTAGAACTGCTTGCTAAAGAGGTTGTCTTTTCTCCAGCATCGTTTTCAATCTTTGTCAACAATCAGATGGTTGAATGGGCCTGGATTTGCTCCTGGACCTTCTATTTTATTCCATTCATCAACATTTCTGCTTTTGTTCCAGAACAATGGGATGCAAAAACACAAAAATGACCCCATGATTTGCAGACAGCTTTAGTTTATGATGAGGGAGAATGATTGAGGTCATTTCCAAAACATCAGGAACCAAAGGGAGGGATGTTTTGCTTGGATTTCAAAGAAGAAAAGTACAAAGGTAGAGTACTTGACTATCTTTGGGTCTTACAGTATGCATCATAGTTACCAGCCATATATCACAGTGACCAGCAATTTATCTTATTTTTATTTATTTATTTTTTTAACCAGCAATTTCTAGGAGACAGAAGCAACTGAAACTGCAATAGGAATGTGAGGAACTAACAAACTGATGTATACTGACAGGAAGGACCATTTTCTGTTACACCAGTACCTTACTGCTTTGGTTTGGTGGTCATGTATTTGAAAATTGATTCAATCAATTTTTAAATGTATTTTTACAGATTCTATTGGCTGGGTTAGAAGGCTTTTTTGGTTTTTGCAGAGCATGAGGTAGGTGGGTGACTTGCATCACGGCAAACTTTTCAGGTCTTTAAGGTTTGTGTTGAGAAATCTGCTCTACTTCTGTTGGGTTTATAGGTGACTTATTGTTTCTCTCTAATAGCTTTATAGATTCTTTGTGCTCATTTTTGGGATTTTTGCCTGTGAGGTGTCATGGACAATATTTTTTCTAATATTAGCTATTTGGGGTTCTATATGTTTCATTTATTTGCATTTGTGATATTTTCCACCAACTTTGAAAGTTTCCTGGTATTTCTGTAAACAGTTTTTTTTTTTTTTATGCCATTTGTACCATCTTGGTTTTTCTGCTAATTCTAGTGAACTTTTGATTAGTCATCTTTACATCATCTGGCAACATCTGGATCCATTTTCTATATTCTCTTGTTGTTTTTAAGGGTTTTTTTTTTCTGAGTATAAAGTCAGCTGCATCTGCATTACCTTCTAGTTCTAACACTGTTCTTATATAGGTCATATTACTGATACTTTCAATAGCATTTGTTATCACTAGGGTTATTTTAAGTACATTTTCATGGACCCTAATTCTTTGTTAAAACAGTTGTTATTGTTTTAATTTGCTCTTCTGTTTTTACTCAACTTGTTTTTAATTATTGTGTTCTGTAAGTTTGCCACTGACAAACAGATAAGTGATGCATGTATAACTCCAAACAGTCATAAATAAAATAAACCTACACCCACACATATAATAATCAAGATCCCAGAAATTCAGCACAAGAACACATTACTAAAAGCTGTTAGAGAAAAGATAACCTAATGGGCTAACCTATCAAGGAAAGTCCATTAGAATCATGGTCAACTTGTCAACAGAAACCCTCAAGTCAAGATGAGCTTAGAGTGAAATAATTCAAGCTTTGAAAGAAAACAACTTTCAACCCAGATTGACTTACCCTACAAAAATTTCTTTGAAAATTAGTGGAGAAATAAGATGCTTTCATGACAAAGAACAACTACTAAAAGGCATACTAGAAAGAGACAAAAATGACTACAATTCTCAGAATAACAACAGAAAGAAACCACCAGGCAGTAGAAGCAATAAAGGAGAAAAGCAGGGAACCAAAAACAGGAAAATAACAATGTTAAGCCAGCACATATGAGTTATAACTATCAATGTAAATGGATTTAATTCACCAATTAAAAGAAGCAGATTGACAGAATGGCTCAAGAAACAGGATCCAAAAATATGCTGTATACAAGAAACACATCTGACTCAAAGGAAACTCATAGACTCAAAATCAAAGGATGGATAACAATATTCCACGTGACAATAACCCAGAAAAAGGGGCTGGGGATTTAGCTCAGCGGCATAAGCACCTATCTTGCAAGCAGGCGGTCATGAATTCGATCCCCGGTACCGATTAAAATGAAAAAGACAAAAAAAAAAAAAAAAAAAGAACCCAGAAAAAAAGCAGTGGTAGCTATTCTGTTTGCAGACAATAGGTACTGCAAACCAAAAATGATAATAAGAGAAAATGAAGGACACTACATACTTCTTTGGGGAAAAATAAGAAGAGATAACAATCATAAATATTTATGTAGCAAAAATAGAAGAACCCAACTATATACAACAAATATTAATAGAAATGAAAAAACCAAGTAGTAATAACACAATTGTAATAGGGGACCTTTAGCAGGTCCCCCAGGGGCCCATTGTCATAAAGAGATAGATTATCTGAACAAAAAGTCAGCAAAGAAACAACTGCATCAAACCTGTCAACAGGTACTGATACTTTAAGATATTAGAGAGTATTGCACCCAACAGCATCAGAATACAGATTGTGCTCAGCTTCACATGGGGCATTCTCTAAAATAGCTAAATGCAATGTCAACACTCAAAAATCAATAGTATTCCTGTACACAAACAAAAAACTCACTGAGAGAGAAATTAGGGAAATAATAATGCTTTCATAATAGCATGTAACAATAGAAATGCTTAGGAATCAACCTAAGAAGAGATGTAAAGATGTATATATTGTAAACTATTGCATTCTCAAAAAAGGATATTGAAGAGGATGTCAGAAAATGGAAAGATTTCCCTTGCTCTTGGACAGGAAAAACTGACAGAGGAAAAATGGCCATACTCCCAAAACTGTTATAAGATTTAATGCAATTACAATCAAAATATCATTAACATACCTCACGGATCTAGAGAAAACATTCCAGAATTCATTTGAAAACAGAAGAGACCAAGAATAGCAGAGGAAATCCTGAGCAACAAAGGCAAGGCAGGAAGCATCACAATTCCAGATTTGAAATTATACTTGAAAGCTACAAGATAAAATCAGCATAGTACTGGCAACAAGAATGGATTTGAAGATGAATGGCACAGATTAGAAGATTCAGACTCAATTACAAAGACACTCAGCCACCTAATCTTTGATAAAGGGACTAAACATGTTTATTCAAAGAACGATACCCTCTCCTACAAATGGTTGTGGAAATATTGTATTTCCATATGCCAAAGACTAAAACTAAATCCATGTCTATCACTATGCACTAAAGTAAAAATGGATCAAAGATCTAAATATTAAAATAGAAACACCAAATGTACTGGAAGACAAAGTAGGAAGAAATTTTGAATAGGGGTAGGCAGGGAGTTCATGACGAAACTGCAAAGGACAGAGGAACTAATTCAAAGAATCAACAAGTAGTATCTCATCTTATGAAAAAGTTTTCACATGTCAAAAGAAATCTCCAACAGAGTGAAAAGAAAACTCACAAAATGGGAAAGAATTTTAGTTAGCTGTCCCTCAAACCAAGGATTTATATCTAGAACATATAAAGAATTGAAAAACATCTGGCCTCCCAAATTCAAAGACCCAGTCCAAAAATGAACATCTGAGATGACCACACACTTCTCAGATGAAGAATTACAAATGGCAAATAAACACATGAAGAAGTGTTCAACATCACTGGTCATTCCAGAAATACAAATTGAAATAATATTGGGATTCCATCTCACTCCAGAAAAAATGGCTGCCATCAAGAAATCAACCAATAACAAATGTTGGCAGGGCTGTGGGGAAAAAGGAACACTTCTCCATTGTTGGTGGGAGTGTAGACTGGCAAAATCACTGTGAAAATCATTGTGGAGATTCCTCACAAAACTAGGTTTGAATGTCCCATTTAATCCAGCTATTCCCATTTTGGGTGTTTTCCCAGAAAAATTGCAAATGTTGAGTTGGTGATTAAGTTCAGTGGCTTAAGCCCCTGCCTTGCAAGTGTGCGGTCATGAGTTCAATTCCTGGTACTGATAAAACAAAAGTAAACAGTGAGAAAAAATTGAAAATATTGTGCTATAGTGATGTATGTGCATCCCTGTTTATAGCAACACAATTTGTAGTAGCCAAATCTTGGAAACAACTCAAATTTCTAGCAGAATGGATAAAAAAAAATGTGGTATTTTTATACAATGAAATATTACTAAACTATAATGATAGATAATCTTAATGCTTTTATAGGTTAATGGAGCCAACTTGAGACCATATTCACAAATGAAATGAATCAAACTCACATATGTAAATATTGGATTCTTTCTAGTGTAAAAAAAAATTGAAAGATCAATAAGATCCAAAATGTACAATAGATATTGTGATAATGAAAGGGTAAGAAAATGCTCAAAATGAAAGAACTGTGATAGGGAAAAGAGAAAAGGAAAGAGAAAAGATTGTATGCATATACATATATATATATATATATATATATATATATATATATATATATGTATGCTTCTATATATATGCAAGATATGTAACTATAGTACAAATCTCTGTTAGTTCATCAAAAAGAACAGTTTGTGCTTTCATTGTTTGATTGTTTTTATTACTAAATCTAGTAACTGAAATAACTACTTCTAGCATAACAATATGTAATACGTTAACTAGTGTTGATTTTCTATTGTTTTTTTAAATTGTGTGTCATTCCTATCCTTTTTTATTCTGATTCTTAAAATTAAAAAATTAAAAGAATCAGAAATAAATTCATTTTATGCTTACTTCTGTAAAATTGAAAACCGTAATATGTTATCAAAAATTTAAAGGAATTATAGATATGTAAAATTTTAGTGCTTTGTAGGGTTATCAGAGATGCTATTGCAATTTCCTATATATAAAAGAATCAAAGTCAATGAAATGATACTACTTACATTAAAATACTTCTAAAGGCTGAGGATTTAACTCAGCAGCATAAGCACCTGCCTGGCAAGTGTAAGGTCATGAGTTTAATCCCCAGTACCAAAATAAAATAAAATAAAATAAAATAATTCTATATACAAGTTTTGTGTAATAATAATTTGTGGTGAACATACATGTGCATTTACAAATAAAAATATCTCTGATTTGCATTATACTCAAAACTGGGCTACAAAGTTATCTCATTATAAAGCTACAGTAATTGTAATGGGAAGGTGAGCAAGAGATGGAAATACTGGAGAGGAAGGTGGCAAGATGGCAGATCAATAAGCAGCAAAGTAAAGAACCTCTCTGAGAGAAACATCTCAGATGCTGGAAAATAGCATCCTGGAGAAGACTAGAAGGAAGGAGATGGATCCTCTCAACGCAGGAAGAAACTAAAGGGGGAAAAAAAAGAAAGAAAAAAAAAGAAAAATGGAAGGCTGTAGCCAGACACACTCTCCCCAGAGTCAGTCCCACTGTGTACCAAATGCCACTGGAATCCAAAGATGTGTGGTCGTGGTGAAGTTGGAGGTTGGCAATCCTGAGGGCCTCAGTGAGAGGACGTGGTCATGGAGGAGAGAGAGGGAGTGGAGAACAGCACCAGCTCAGAGATCTACACTGGCTCACAGTGAGTGGGGGAAAAATCAGTCCTACAAGAGTGGGCAATTGGTCAGGCAACATTTTGGAGTCAGGCAGGATAATCCCAGAACCAGAACTGCAGAGGCTTCAGTCAGCCACTCTTAATGCAAAGCAGATTGGTGAGAATTGCTTGGACTGAGTCTTGTCCCTGTGTGTGATCCCATAGCCAAGGCTGAGGTTTTCCTGAAGTTACCCCTAACCGGCCACATCTGCATGGCATACACTAACATGGTGAATACTCCCAGTGGTTGACCAGCTGAGAAGGGAGGGGCCAGCCTGACCGACCTCTGATTATACTTCAGTGGTTATCAGCAGACTGGGTAGGGCAACAATCCCTAGCCAACTTGGTTCATAGGAATCAACCAATACAGGAAGTGCCCAGAATCCCCACTACCCACTTTATGGAAGAAACTAGAAACATGACAAGAGGAAGAAACAAAAGGAAGTCTCCAGCCTCTAACGCAAACAATACTGAGCCAGGAGAGGTAAAGACAGAAGAGATCGGGGATTGCACACCTGCAATTTCTGAAGAAGCAGCACCTGACATAAAGAAATATCTTTGTGACATTATAAATACTAATACGAGTAAAGGAAGATATAAGAAAAATAATAAAACAAATGCTAAGCACCTCTCAAGAAGACACCGATGGAAGACTGGAGGAGCAGAGAAAAAGGAGGGAAACCTTTGATGAAGAATATTTAAAAAATCTAGACTACATGAAACAGAGTCAAAGAGATTATCAAGGAATTAAAAACTCCATTGAAAGCTGGCAAAACTGCTTGAAAGAAACTAAAGACAGACTATCAAACCTTGAAGACAGGTTTGCAACTTGTGGTCATGAAAGAAAAGATTTCTGAAAAGTAACAAGGATCCAGGAAGTAACAATACAAAGGATAGAATATGACAAGAGGATGTGTATATTAAGAATAAAAACTGTGGGGGCTGGGGATTTAACTCAGCGGCATAAGCACCTGCCTTCCAAGCAGATGGTCATGAGTTCGATCCCCGATACTGATAAAAAAAAAAAAAAGAATAAAAAATGTGACTGAAGAAGCAGGGATAAACACAAATGAAATACAAAGAACAGAATACTAAAAGCTGTCAGAGAAAAGAAACAGATCATCTATAAAGAAAAACCATCAGAATTATGACAGTGGACTTATCGACACAAACCATCAAATCAAACATAACTTTGATTGAAGTTTTCCAAACCCTGAATAAAAATAACCTGCAACCCAGATTGATGTACCCTGAAAAACTGTGGAGAAACAAGATGTTTCCATGACAAAGAGGAACTGGGAGAGTTTGTGACCACCAGTTCAACCCTACAAAAAATTCTATTGAACATAAGAGACATCATAGTAACCATTGTAGATCACCTTGTATTGTGATTTTAAATCATGTACTATGTCCATCAATTTCTTTTGAATGCCTCCATTTTCTTTTTGTCTCATTTTGTTTTATTCTGCTGCCCCCCCCCCAAAAAAAAAAGAAAAGAGACGGAAATACTGGAGAGGAAGGAGAGGGACAGGGGATGAAAAACCTCCACACAAAGAATGTAAACATTATATGTTGCAACCACATAGAAATGAAAAAATTTAAATATAGACATAGCCAGACTGGTGGCATATGCCTGTAATCCCAGCATTCAGGAAGCTGAGGCAAGAGGATCATTGTGATTTCAAGACCAGCCTGGGTTACAAAATGAGCTGAAGGCCAACCTGAACTGTATAGTGAGACCCTGTATCAAAAAGAAAAATATATATACATACATATATATGTACATATATATACATACATATATATGTACATATATATATGTTCAAAGACAAAACAAGTATTGACATACAGTAAATATCTACTAACTTTAACAACTGTAGTTCTGTTGACAATAGAAAAATTGAACAATAATAACATTGAGTCAACTGAATAAATGGAGAACAATAAAGATTACTAGTAATACTAGCAAAATAGAGAAACTGATTTGAGCAAAGGAGAATGAAAGAAGTAAAATTGGAAAAATAAAAAGGAAGATGAGAAAGAGAAGAATGATAAAAGAGATCCTGTTAAAGTATAAAAGACAATTGTAGAATTTTATAAATATAACAAGATAACAAGCAAGGAAAAGTATAAAAAAATACAAAAACAAGAAAGAAAAAACCAAAATACCAATGACGAACAAAACTGAATGATTCTATGGCTGGGAATATAGTTCCGTGGCACAGCACCTGCCTTGCAAGTGTAAGATTATAAGTTTGATCCCAGTGAAAAAAAGAAAAAGAAAAACAAAACTGAATGATTCTAAAATATTCCTTCATTTTTGAATGAGTGGTTACTTTTTAGGATCTGCAGAACTGGAATCCACCAGATTTTGGAGTACAGGAGATGCTTAGTGAGCCACAAGTAAGTCCTATTTTGTTGCCACAGTCATGGTTTCGTGTGTCAATCCTGAATCCTACCACATTTTTTCTTCTGGGTGTGGCTGTGAATTTTATCTTCTCTGGGGCTACTTTCACACCAGGTGATCCAAATTTCCATGTACCCTTATACACCTTAAGTCACTGCTCTCTTTGCCTAGTTTTACAGCTTATAGCTTTGTGAAGTGCCCCTCCCACTCCAAAGACCTCTTTGCCCATACATCCCAGTTTGTGGCAACTATTCAAGCTGAGGTATATCCTTGATTGTGTTGGCAGATGGACAAAGTGCAAAGGCTATTGAGTTCCATGCTGGATGGAAGCGGCAGTATAGGTGAGGTAAGCAATCTATTGGCTGGACTGAAAGTCAACACTTTCAGACTCAGCTACTTCCTGAAACCATACATAGCAGGCCTTAACTCTCAACATGAAGATCCAAACTGTTGTGCCCTTTCTGGCCTGAGCATAAACTTCTCAGGAGCATCCATATCTAGTCCATTACTTCTCCATGGCTATATCTTTTACTCATTCCTTATCCAATCACTGATATAGGATGACCCCAGAAACTGTGGGTTGTAGATACTGTACAGTTATTTTGTAGTCTAGTCTTAAATATTAACCCTGAATAAAATGTTTCCAAATGATACAGAGATGGTAACAGAACCTCCAAGTATGATATAAAGGAAGCATTCTAACTCCCAACCTGTTAGATGTCTAATATACTAAGTTCATGTTCTATAAAATTGAAGAATGAATTTTAGGAACAATGAATGGTAACAGTAGGAAATAATTATTGAGAGATTAAAAAAAAACTTCCATCCAAAGGGACAGGAGGTGATCCCCAGAAAGGATTGCCCAAGGAACCCACTTTTCTGAGGAAGTTTTATAAACCACAGTTATGTAGGTATAATCTGGTCTATAGCTATGATCAACCAAGATTATAAGTATAGATACTTAGGCAACTTTGGTCCAATGGGGAAGCAGCTCACATAGCAAAGTGGAATAGAAAGAACAAAGAACTTCTCAGGTAGGCAAAAGATATAGAGGTGTTAGTTGTCCACTGAGGTGACTGATACCTATTTAGACATTATCATATCAGATATTATCACTTATCACATCTCTGGTGGAGTATGTAGGCCTGGTTTCCTTGTTGTTATGTTGAGACCTGGCCTCCAACTAATGCGTCTCTGACCATCATTGTGAACCATTTTCATCTTTCATTCTGGCTCTCTCAAGGACCTAGTCCTAAGTAACTGCCTATGTTTCTACCTATATTAACTGTGTATAACACTAATTAAATATTCTCAAATTCATGTGAAAGGAGCTACTTTCAAAGTATAACCCTATGCTGCTTTTGCATATTATAACAATGGGCTCTTATTAAGACTAGCATAGCCAAACTGGTCTGCTGTTTTTCCCTGAAGCTGGCAACCCTCTCAAGGCTTACCTTGTGTTAGAGAAGACAGGTTCCCTTTTTCAAGATCTGGGGTTAGGATTTCCAACTGCATCATTCTTTTCTCAGCTTTGTACTCAGTTTCTCTCTCTTTTTTTAAATTTCATTTAAAGGAGAAAAAGAAAAAAAACAGAAAGAGGGTATGTTATACAGAATTTCAAAAAAATAAACAGTAGGAGATCACTAGTTAATAGATTACATACTGTCATCTTAGAAATAATTGTTCAAGTTACAAAATTAAAGCATATAAAGTGGGCATCCAAACAGTGAGACTGCAAAGAGTTCTTTTCAATGATCCAACAAAAACTCAGTAATATGGTTACCTATCTTATATGCTTAAATATACATGCAGTTATATCCTTTAGAGCACTTTGTTTTCCTCTCTTTTTTGCAATGACAATTACACATTTTGGGTTTTATCACTCCCACAGTTCTTATTACTTTTTTTGAAGAGAATAAAACCAAATGTGACATAACAAAACAGAGTCAGTTAGAACAGAAGGATGGACATAGTATATAATGTAAAAAGAGAATACAAGGTGATCAACAATGGTTACCATAATGCCTCTTGCTATCTTAAAAAGAATTGCCTATATCATCAGTTATAATAAAATTGAACAAAACAGTACAGAAGAAAACCAATAAAACCAAAACATTGGAGACATTACAGGACTTCAAAAGAAGATGATAGTCAAACCAGAACGGGCATCATAGTGAATCTTAGTGTCTTCAGAGTTGTTGTATATACTTTCAAACTTGGTACTATCAAGCAAAAGAGAATAGAGCAAAATCAGTCAAAACAAAGTGGTGAGAGCAATAGAGGGTTTCAAATCAAGTTAGTAGGAGATCAAAGTGAGTTACTATAATATATTCTGCTATTTTTATATATTTTTCCCTTAATTAAAAAGATAAAAAAATAAATAATAAAAAAATGAGACTGAGATAAAAGAGGACATAACAAAACAGCACAGGTCAGAACATAACCATTTAAGAAAAATAGTGTTTCACCACAAGATATCCCAACATAAAAGTAGTTACCATTGTGTCTCTTTCCTTGAAATCTTTGAGTAAAACTTGTATACTCTAGCATCAAACATATCAAGACAGGGTAAATTTATTCAAGAGAATGACATTATTACAGGATATTTAGGACCAACTAACAGAAAATGAACAATAGTTTCTGTATAATCTCCTTGTCTATAAAAGTTTTTGTTTATACTATCACATGTAATAAAATCCAATAAGATGCAACCAGTTAAGAACAATGGAGACAGAAGAACAAAAGCTCGATGGGACTTCAAAAAAAGATGATATTAAATCAGCATTAGCTATTATGATGTCTTCTTTTCTTTAAAATAGTTGTTCCTATCATCCAACTTTCTCTGCCTCATTTCTGTTGAGCTCTTTTTCTGTCATTAGTTGTCAGTTTGTCTTCTTCATTTTGCTTTCTGCTCCATTCATTGTGGCCTCTCTGCCACTGTTTCTGGAATCTTGGTATTTTTCTCTTTTAGAATGTCCTGCAGTATTCTCTTTAGAGTTGAATTGGTGGTTGCAAATTCCCCTAGTTCCTCTTTATCCTGGAAGCACCTTGTTTTTCCAGTAATTTCAAGGGACAATTGTGCAGGATATATCAATCTTGGATGGAGGTTATTGTCTTTCAAGGCTTGAATTATTTTGCCCCACACTCTTCATGATTTGATGGTTTGTGGTGAGAAGTCTGCCATTATTCTGATGGGTATTCCCTTGTAAGTGATCTGTTTCTTGTCTCTGACAGCTTTTAATATTCTGTTTTTATATTGGATTTCTGGAATTTTGATTATTATATACATGAGTGTAGTTCTGTTTGGGTTGTAGGTGGCTGGGGTCCCGTATGCCTCATAGATCTGAGTATCTTTACCTTTTCCCATATTAGGGAACTTCTCCTTGATTATTTCTGTGAATAGCCTTTGCAGTTCATTTGTTTGTACCCCTGCTTCTTCCTTTACATTCTTAAGTTATAGATCCTCTTATCACCTTCTAGCCTTTGTATTGTCACTGCTTGTTTCCTTGTTATTTTTAAGAAGTTTTTCCTTTCATGCTTCCACATTACAAATCTGTCTTCCAGTTCAGATAGTCTATCCTTAGTTTCTCTCAAGCTGTTATGTCAGTTTTCAATAGTTTTTAGTTTCCTGGTAATCTCTTTGAACCTGCTTCATGTATTCTATGTTTTCTCTATTTTCTCCATCAAACAATTCTCCCCTTCTTTTCTGTTCTTCCATTCTACCATGTGTTTTTTCTTGGGAGGTTCTTAGCATTTCTTTAACTATTCTACTTATATCTTGCTTTACTTGGTTAAATACTTCACTTTTGAACTTGTCTATGAGGTCCCAGAGATATCGCTTTATGTCTATTGGTGCCGTGCCTGATATTACATGTTTTCTGTCCTCACTCTCCTTTGCATTTATCTTTCCTGGGTCAGTGTTCTCAGGATTGGGGGCCAAGGACCCTGTCTTGTTACTCCCTCTTCCCATACTTTTTGTTCCTTCCATACAAGCATATATAGGAGGCCCAGTTTCTTTCTTTGTCAGTTACAGTTTATTTGAATCATACTGGCTAGGTGTTCCTGCCCACTGCAGTGTACTAGGGAGACACAGACCTGGACAGCCTATGTGAGCCTGCCCCAGGGTGCACTGCCAGGTGCAGGGACCTGGTTTGGGCTAGCCTACTGGGTCTTAGCCCATGGCATCACCCAGGTCAAGTGCCCCCCACAAATCCTGCTTGAGAGTGGAATATGTGACTGAAGTCACTGCAGTGTCCTGTTCCAGCTAGTCTGTCTGGTCACAGGATGTCCTCTATTGGAGCCTCCTAGTCTATGGAAGGGTCCTTGTTCCTCTCACTCACCGCAGGTCAATGCAGGGCTCCTGGCTAGCTCTGTTCTCAATTTGCTTCACCGATTCCCACTCTCAGCTCTTTCCCATCTCTATCCCTGCTGTGCCAATTCAGATGCAGCAGCAGTGACAGGAAATTCAAGCTGATTTTCAGAGGTGCAAGTTCCTGCTTTGGCAGATACTTTAGCTGTTCCAGTCATAACACCAGGATTATATTTCCAGTTGCTTTCTTTCAGCTTAGTTCATTCCTGGGTTGCCAGGCTATAACTTGCCCTGCTTAGGACTCCCCACACTGCACCATTCCTGGAATCTAAGCTGGCTACCTCAGAGAGCCTTCATAGCTGCTATTATCTATCCACCATGTTCTTCCAGAAGTCCTTGTACTCAGTTTCTCCATTCATTCCAGCAGTTTCTAGGTTTGCTGTCAGCTCCTTCCTGATTCCTGGAGATCTGTTTCTTATTTTCTTCACTAAGTTGTTACTTTTTCAGTTGTCTCAATTCCAAATCCAAGATAGACTGTAGTTTGTTAACAGCTTTTACTTTGCCATTTTTAATCATTGGTGGTCCCTTTTTAGGGTCAAATACTTGACATCCACTTATGCTCCAGCTACTTAGAATCTACATGCCCATCCAATGTGTGAAAGTCAGCCTAAGGATGTGGTACCTTAAGGCCTTTAATACTGAGGGCTGTATCAAATCAGAGGAGAAAGTTTTAATTGTCACAGCAAAATGAAAAATATTTTTGAACCTGGAATTGAATTCATGGCCTTAGGCTTGCTGTCAAGCACTGTGCTGAACTTAATCCCCAGCCCTGCAAAATGGAAATTTATTTATTGGTACTGGGGATTGAACTCTTGACCTCACCCTTGCCAGGAAGGCACTGTACTACTCACTGAGCTATATCCTTGGATGCAAAATAGAATTTTAAAATTTAAGATGTTTCTTGTCAAGGCAAGTGGCTCTTCCAGAATTCCTCAGGCCCAGGGCGTAAATATCTACTTTCACTTCTCCTGAGCCCAGAAGATTGACTGGGTATGTAGGTGCCAGCACCAGGACATGAAGGCCCAGTTCCATTTCCTTAGGCAAAAAAGGGAAAAGATTTGAGTCCAGGAAGGGAGGAAATAAGAATAAACATGTCTTACTAAATGGTTAATTTTGTAAAATTGTAAATTGTAAATTGTAAAATTTGTAATTTTATAAATTGTAAATTCTCTGTGTCCTAAAGTTGAAGAATAGATTTAAGTATGAAAGTAGGAATTAAGGAGAGTATTTATTAGGAATAATAATGAGAAAAAGCTCTTGGTGGATATCCACAAAGAAGATAAAGAGGGCCAACATGCTTTCTTTGTTTTGGCCTTATACAGAGAGCCAAAGAATGGGGACTTGTTTCAAAGGACTTGAGTTCAAAAAAGTTAAGTAAGGGCTGGGGATTTAGCTCAGCAGCATAAGCCACCTGCCTTGCAAGCAGGCAGTCATGAGTTCGACCCCCGGTACCGATAAAAAGGAAAAAGATAAAAAAAAAAAAAAGTTAAATAAAAAACCAGATTGTCTTGCATTTCTAATATTTTCTATTTAACACTGAAGAGCACAGCCAAGGGTAGAGAGGAAGTGTCAATTAGCTTAGTATACCATTTTTTCCATACCATCTACTCTAGTCCTTATCTCCCTTTTTTGGTAGCTTTTATTCTTTTTGTTTGTCTTTGCATCTCTAATCTTAACAAACTTCTTGAATTAGCTTTTAAAGGTGGACTATTTTCCTTTTTGAGACCTTATAATTAGGGTGCAACAACTGCATTTCCATAATAGTAATTGGTAAGCTATGATATTTTTGTCTCTTTTTATCCTTGCTTGTACTCTTCCTTGCTATAAAAGATTCTGACACAACTGCACATTGTGAGATGTTGATCTGTATGATGAGGCCTCTTCATCACTTCAGAGTTGACCATTTGCTCAGTCAGTTTGCTACACCATAATTCTCAATAAACCCTTTTTATCTTTTACCAAAACAAATGCTCTCCCCATTTTTAAACCAGGTTCTAGAGTTCTAGAGACCCTTTCTAGAGTTTTTTCCTAGGGTCTTCCTGTCTTAAACAAAGAACTGGACAAAATAAGGGTAAATGCAAATGAGTTTTTGTTGAAGTAATGGAAGTAACTGTGATTCCATTTCCTTTTAGTGTGCATTTTAGCTTATAGCTAAACTTTAGATGACCTCACTCCTAAAATCCTCCCTCCACTGTACTTAGCCATAAATCTCATAAAAGAGAACCAAGCAGTTAGATAAGGAACAGGCAGTTTTAGTACACTGGCCAAAATGACCACTGCCCTAATCCTGTGTGAAAAAAGACCAGTGGTTGAGGAAAAGGATCTTATGGCATTTCAATGAAGTGATGTACTGTGATATGGTTGCTATGGTAACCAAAAACCTTTGATCTCACAATCCAGTATAAAAGTTTGGGGGAATGAAGACTCATCATCAACAGCATCAGCCACTCTTAGCTGGTCTGTCATTCTCTTATCAAATAAACTTGCTTGTTTCTCAAACCCTTGGCTTTCCATAAGTTTATCTCATGAATCAGTCACAACGATTTTGCATTGAAACTGAGTGTGGGTCAACTAAATACTGGAAAAAGTATACTCTGCAGGGACAAAGTACACCACTGTGAAAAAGAGCACACAATGTCTAGGAGACAAATGGTGACCATCTTTTATATCTCCTATTCTTCAGATTGATGTTAAATCTACACTGTCCTATAAAAAACCTACTTCAGTTTTCATAAGAACTGAAGACAGAATTCTTTGATTGCTCTAGCACACAGGGGTTTGTAAACTGTTTTGCTGGATCTTCATGATATGATAGAGCATGACCATTTGCTCAGTCAGTTTGCTACACCATAATTGCCTGCCTCATTTTCTCCATAGACACATAAATCCCCACAATTCTTCATGCTACAAAGGGTGTGGTGATCTCTGTTATCATATTGCTACTTCCTGAAGAAGGGACAAATAGGTACGACCTACAGTGGATATGATTCTATTTATCTTTTCTTAGAGAAAAACTAGAGTTACTTTTTAAAAGAAGAGCCTCAAAAAAAAAAAAAAGCAAAGAAAAGAAAAAAGAGAAAAATTTGAGCCTCAGTTCTTCTAGAGATTTACAGGAATAACTTTCTTCTTTTGGATAGTCTTTTTTTTTTCAGACAGTTCAAGTAGAACCAGCTTTATAATTCTCAGTCTTTCCTAAGAGGTGTTCATCTCCTTTGCACAAGTTCTAACAAACAAGATGGTCTGAACTTTACAAGGTTAGTGAGAAAGCTTTGCAAACCTGTCAGGAAGTCACTGGTAGTCCTAGTCATATGAAAATATGATTCACCATTTTTCATGTAGGGTTATTATTGCTTTCTACTGTGTCCCTTGAAGAATGACCAGTTTCCTAGTTTTAATGGTTCCTCAGAAAGTGAAAATAAGGTTAGGGTTTTTTTTTTGGGGGGGGGGGTAGGAGGGTTATTTCTCTATTTTTTATTTTAAAGAGAAAAAAACAAAAATCAAGAAGCAAACATAAAACAATAACAAATATCATTGCCCTTTTTGCCTCTCTATCATCTTTTGATTTCCCAAGGAGAATTTAGACATGTCTTTTAATCGGTCAATAGGGCACTGTGGGACAATTAAAAACTCATGGTTGAATGTTTGGTCTTTCAATTGTCCCTTAGTGCCCTATTGGCTATAAGAGGAGACTTGCTAGTAAAATTAGAGGCAGTCTTGTCTTCCCAGGCAGGTCATTGTCATTCACTTCAATATACAACAAAGAGACATGCTCTTATATAAGAGCAGGTGTAAAGAAGCTCTGACTAAGGATCCCCTCAACCCAAATTATGACTGTAGATCTAGAGGAGGGTTTTCTGCAGAAGGAAGCTAAAACAGAATTGACTTTCCTTACTCATGATATCCTGGGCTCTTTACAGGAAATAGTGTTATCTGTGGACAAGGGCATTAAGGTTGCTCCATATCCATTCCATCCTCTTCATTAGTATGGGAGGTGAAAGTTTTGACTGGCCTTATTCCTCTCTGAGAGCAGGGACAGACAGTAATTGGGTGCCACGAGTCAAAGCACATCAGCTACCTGACACATGAAGAAAGGCCCAGGTGGTGCACTCATGTGTCCAGTGTCACAGTTGTGTCACAGACCTTAGCTGGCCCTGGGCTTTTCCTTGCATGACTTGTATGTGCTTAAAGCATTGCCAATTTGGACAGTTGTAATTTTACTGTCTTGTTTCTTAGCCCTTCTCCATTATCCTTACCTAGAGCTCAATTGTTGAACACAGAAATGGCTGTGTCTGCCCATTGGGAGATAAGGATCTGAGGTACAGGAGATGGCAAGACAAATTGGATATCTTGGCATGAGATCTCCAAAGCAAGGGTCAAAATTTGAAATCCTTCTGCAAACTTACCAGGATCTGAAAATATTCGGTCTCTTTGGAGTGGGTAGGTGCTGGTAGGATTCCTGAGATACATGAAGAAAAGAGGACTAATTTACTAGCATGAAAATTATGACGAGGTGGCTGAGCAGATCTCCCAGTGTGGTCATTTTCATTAAAAAGTTTAGAAAGAACTATATATCACGGAGAGACAGTTATCTGAGGACAAGTTTATCAATGGTATCCTCTTCCTTCCCAGGAGCTTTTGTAAGTATCATAGTTTGAAGGATTTTCAGAGATAAAGAGACATAAAATCCTTAATAAAAGGGATTTCACTCTAATATCTATGCTTTTTGCAGAAATGATTTTACTAAAAAAACGGTATTGTAATTTAAACAGGCATGCTATACCCATCTCTCACCATTTCTTACTTCATACTTAAGCCAAATCATATTGCAATGGTAAATAAATTGTTCCTTTTTCAGGTTTGTAGAGTTGAAGCACTCCCAGTGTTAAAGGATGTAGCCTAATGGTGGCTCCTATGGGATCTATGGGGTACAGTTCATGGTGTTTCCCATGGCTCATCTTGGGACTTATGGACAGAGAGAACCAGGTCTGTGGTCTTTATATACCAACAGAAGATAAGTCAGTTCCATTCACAAGTAGTCCCTTGTGAGACACATACACTAGACAGATGTCTCTATCTGAAACAGAGTTGGTACTAGTACCTTCCTAGAAGAGTGGACTCCCTTAGCCACTTGAAAAACAATGCACTTTAAGCCATCAGGATGGAGACCCCCTGGGCGTTCCCTAAGACAGTACTCTTAAGACAGCAAAGTTGAGGCCAACTCCCCCAGCTGCCTGGGGAACATTAGCATACATCTTACATTTATACTGGTGATATTTACATAACTTAATAATTAAGAACGTAAAAGAAGAAGTAGGGACACAAACAAATGAACTGCAAAGGCTATTCACAGAAATAATCCAGGAGAATTTCCCAAATTTAGCAAAAGGTAACGATATTCAGATGTATGAGCCATATAGGACACCAGCCACCTACAACCCAAACAGAACAACACCCAGGCATATAATAATCAAAATTCCAGAAATCCAATATAAGAACAGAACATTAAAAGCCGTCAGAGACAAGAAACAGATCACTTACAAGGGAACACCCATCAGAATTACAGCAGACTTCTCAGCACAAACCATCAAATCATGAAAAGCATGAGGGGAAACAATTCAAGCTTTGAAAGATAATAACCTCCAGCCAAGATTGATATACCCTGCATAACTATCCCTAGAAATTGATGGAAAAACAAGGTGCTTCCAGGATAAAGAGGAACTAGAGGAATTTGCAACCACCAATTCAACTCTAAAGAGAATACTGCAGAACATTCTAAAAGAGAAAAATACCAAGATTCCAGAAACAGTGGCAGAGAGGCCACAATGAATGGAGCAGAAAGCAAAATGAAGAAGACAAACTGACAACTAATGACAGAAAGAGAGCTCAACAAATGAGGCAGAGAAAATGGGTAGGAACAGCTATTTTGGAGAAAACAAGACATCATAATAGCTAGTGCTGATTTAATATCATTTTGTTTTGAAGTCCCATCAAGCTTTTGTTCTTCTGTCTCCATCGGTCTTAACATGTTGTTTCTTATTATATGTGATAATATAAACAAAAACTTTTATAGACAAGGAGATAATACAGAAACCATTGTTCATTTTCTGTTAGTTGGTTCTAAATACCCTGTAATACTGTCATTCTCTTGAATGGTTTTACATTGTCTTGATAAGTTTGATGCCACAGTATACAGACTTATACTCAAAGATTTCAAGAAAAGAGACACTATGATAACAAATTTTATGTTAGGATATCTGGTGGTGAAACACTATTTTGCTTAAATGGTTATGTTCTGACCTGTGCTGTTTTGTTGTTATGCCCTCTTTTATCTCAGTCTCCTTTTTTTTATTTACCTTTTCATTTTTATCTTTGTAATTAAGGGAAAAATAAAAAATAGTAGGATATATTTTAGTAACCCACTTCTATTTCCTATTAACTTGAAACTCTGTATTGCTCTCACCATCTTTTTTTTTTTTTTTTTTTTTTTTTTTTGTCTTTTTCCTTTTTATCGGTACCAGGAATAGCACTCACGACTGCCTGCTTGCAAGGGAGGTGCTTATGCCGCTGAGCTAAATCCCCAGCCCCTCACCATCTTGTTTTGACTGATTTTCCTCTATTCTGTCTTGCTTGATACTACCAAGGTTGAGAGTATAGGGAACAACTGTGAAGGCAATAAGATTCATTATGATACTCATTCTGGTTTGACTGTTATCCTCTTTTGAAGTCCTGTAATGTCTCCAATATTTTGGTTTTATTGGTTTTGCTCTTTACTGTTTTTTTATAACTGATGATATAGGCAATCCTTTTTAAGATAGCAAGAGGCATTATAGTAACCAATGTTGATCACTTTATATTTTGTTTTTACAGTATGTATTATGCCCATCCTTTTTGTTTGACTGACTCTATTTCGTTACATCCCATTTGGTTTCATTCTCTTCAAAAAAAGTAATAAGAACTGTGGGAGTAATAAAACCCAAAATGTGGAGTTGTCATTGTACAAAAGAGAGGAAAAGAAAGTGCTCTAAAGGATGTAACTGCGTGTATATTTAAGTGTATAAGATAGATAACCATATTATTGAGTTTTGTTGGATCATTGAACAGAACTGTTTGCAGTCTCACTGTTTCATTGTCCACTTTGTGTGCTTTGATTTTGTAACTTGAACAGTTATTTCTAAGATGACAATATGTAATCTGTTAGCTAGTGATTTCCTACTGTTTGATTTTCTGAGATTCTGTATAACTTGTACCCTTTTTGGTTTTTTTTCCTTAAATAAATTTTTATAAATAAATAAATAAATACATAAATAAATAACCCTTCCAGGTCATGCCTCTATTCTGACCACATCATACCTCCTCATTTCGTTATAAATTCATCAGTGGACTAATCCACCAATGAGTACAGTTCCCCTGTGATCAAATCACCTCGTCAAATCATGTACATGACTATATGAAGATTTAGGGGGATATCTAGATATGAATCAAAACAATAATGATATGTGAAAATATAAATTATTATATATAGTACTTCATGCCTTATATGATAATACACAATATAGTGTACTGTAGAATATGAGATATTTTATCAATATTTAATGTATGTTACCTAATTATAAATAATACAAATTACATAACTTCTATATAATTAAATATTATGTAATATTACATCATTCACATAATACCCCATATAAAGATACTTTATGCAAGTATGTTATATGTAACACATACTACAATAATTACATGCATGATATGATTATATATCATATATGATTATTTCATTATATACTAAATATAATGAAATTATATTTTCATCATATACTAAATTTGAAGCATTTTACATTTGTCAACTGTAAAATGCTTCATAAAGTAAATGTAAAGTGCTTCATAAAGTTACATATATATATATTTTAATGATACTCAGGGCTTAAGTAAAGTCTTTGCAGTGAGCTACATCTCTACTACATTTTATATTTTTAAATTTTGAGTCAAGGTCATAATTCACTAAATTTTCCAGGCTGTGTTCAAACTCAGAATCTTCCCACTTCAGTCTCCCAGGGTGTTATGATTACAGGTGTTTTGCATCATATCAGACTATACTTTGTTATCATATATGTTGCATGTTTTACACAAAAGAATAATATATAGTAGAAAGTATATATTTCACATGCAATGTTAAATATATAGGACATGTGATATGTGTTATATAGTAAAATATGCAAAATATATGGTACATAACTGGATGTGTTATAGTGCATATTCATACATGATATATAATTATATAATCACATGATAACATAACATTTGGTTATTGTAAATTATATGATTTAGAATTTTTAAATTTAGTGTATAACTACATATCTATAATATGCATTTATCTTTAACTAATATCAAGACATTAATAAAATATAATTATAGATTATGTAGAATATAGTAATTTTCTAGTTTTGCATATTTGTAAAATATAAACAATTATATGATCATTGCATAATACATTACAGTTATGTATTGTTTATATTTTAAGTTACATGTAATACACAGCTATGATGCATCTATTATGATATATGAATTATATATTACACATAGCTTCCAATATAAAATTTAATACACAATTATATTTTTATAAATATTATAACATGTTACCTATGATACAATGTAATATACCCCATGTAATTTAGCTAATTAATGTATAATATAACATGCTTTGTGACAAAGAATATCATATCATTTTTACATTGTGACATTTATAACTGTTATAAATGTCACACTTATATATTATCATGATTATATTATTACATGTAATAATGGAAAGCATCACTATTTTTAGTTAATTCCATATACAAACATTGAAAATAAATTATGCTTTATATTATATATATTTTATACTATATTTAGTATTTAATATCCTCCCAAAACCTCATGCATTTATAGGTGGGAATATGGAGAAGTGGTTGGCTCATGAGTATGTGATGTTGGGATTAAAGGTGTGTGGTGCTGGTTTAGTCTACTAATTGTCTAAGCATGTTTCTGAGTGTAAAGGGAAGGCCCACCTTGGTGAAGGTGGCACTATCCAATAGGCTTGTAGCCTGGATAGGATAAAAGTAAAAAAGGCTCACTGCTTGGCTACTTTCTGCCTGCCATGCCATGCACCACTTCTCCTTTGCCAAGACTCATTGCCCTGCCACACTGACTTTGAGCCAGCCAACTGTGGACTATAATAACTTTAAACTGGGAGCTGAAATAAACTTTTCCCCTTTAACTTGTGGATATTGGGTATTTGTTTCAGCAATGAGAAAAATGACTAAGACAAAATTATATTACATGTTACATATGTAAAATATACTTTATATATAATTAATGTAATATATGAATTATTCATAACAACCCATGTGATAAATT